GGTCATTTTAGCGTGTTGGCCTAGAAACCCCAACTTGCAAAAGTTAGGCCGCCATGTCAAAATGACAAAAAAGAGAAAACAATGTCAGCAACGACACTCCAAAATTTCGTATTGTGCATTTTTCGAGTAATTTCGAGAAACTCATTCTTCAAGAAATTTTTGAAAAGACGCTCTGGTCGTAATCTTGAAAGTTTTTAACCCGGAATTTTCAGTTTTAGAAACATTTAGAATGCTTCTGATTTCCGATTTTTTGAATTTCTTAATATTCCGAAATTCTGGAACTATGATTCATGTAAACTCGAAATATTTCAGAAATTCCGTTTTTTTTTCTGAATTCGGAGCTCTCCGAAAAATCCAAAAAGCGATTTTCTGAGTTTTAAAAAAAATAATTCGAAATTCCGATTTTCTGAATTTCAAATTTTTCCGAAAAAACAGGAATTCAGACTCTCTAAATTCCGAAATTCTCCGAAAAATCAGAAATTCCGACTTTCTGAATTCCGAATATTTACCAAAAAAATCGAAAGTCCTATTTTCTAACTTACGAACTTTTACAGAAAAATCAAAAATTCCGATTTTCTAAATTTCGAATTTTCACCGAAAAAAAAATCAAAAAATCAGATTTTCTGAATTTCAACATTTTTACCAAAAATTCGAAATCCCGATTTTCTGATTCCCAAGTTTATACCAAAAAAATTCGAAAGTCATATTTTCAATTTTCAAATTTTTTCGAACATCAAAATTCCGAATTTACGAGTTTACGAGGATTCCGAAAAGCAACTTTCTAAATTTTGGTATAATTCAAAATTCTAAACTTCTCTGCAAACATCCCTTGAACACTTAGGAACCCTTTTTTCGATTTTCAAAAAATACGCTTCCCTAAAACAAAGGGTCCCGTTTTTCATCTCGGTTTATTTGGAGCATCCATCCAAAAGTGCTCCATTTTATGACTTACCGTAGTCCATTTCCCCACTTCCTCCGAAAAAAAAGATTCGTCTATTTTTCTCCTCTTCCCGAAAATTAATGGCTTGACTTTACGACCACCACCGTAGTCCTTTTTCGTGCGCCACGTCATTTATATTTTTCAAAGCTCATTTTGATGCTCCTCAGAAATAAGAGGGATGACTGGAGAAAAAATATTTGACAGAAAACTAAAAATGCGCTATATTGAACATTAAACAAAATTTTAAAAAATTTATTTTTTTTTACATTAAACAAAATTTAAAAAAATTTATAGTTTGTCTTCCAATAATTTATTTTGAATCGGTCGCATTGAAATGCACTCAACTGTGTTTCGGTTATCATCACTTCTGTCATCTCTCTGTCAACAATGTCTCAATTTGATAACCAGCACCGGCAATGTGCAAAACGATGCTTAATTAAAAGTTCTCCTAAAAATTAATGTTTAAAAAATGATCCTGAAACGTAAGTTTTGGGATCCAGCGTTTTTTGATATTTTTAAAGAACAATTTTAATTATTTTTTTTTTTGGAGAAAATGGGAAAACTTTGTGCTTAACTTTTTTGCTATGGAAAACAATTATAATCAAAAAAATTGTATTTCATAGTGGTCTGGACCAGAAAATCTAATTTTCAGCTAAGACTCTTCTTATCATCTCTAGTAGTGGAATGCTTATCGTTTTCAAACGATTCTCCGTAGGTTTTCAAAACGGGGCGATAAGACGCGCCGGCAATTGTTACTCGAATGTTCTTCCTTACTTTTTGCTTTTCGAAAAATAATATAAATTTTGTGACTTCACCCCCTCGATCCCCCCGAAAATTGCCCATTTGTCCCCGTTTCCCCTCTTCTCCCTCAATACCTGCGGCCAAACAACCATCCTAAAAAGGGAAAAATACACTTTTGCACCTTTTGTATTTTTTTGCATACTTGCAAAATCAGGGCCCGGCCTGTGACTCCTCGGCCCAGGTTCTCCAGGTTTGAAAAAAAATTTGAAATTTCAAAAATTTTTTCAAATTTTTTTGTAAAAGAACTATTTTTTATGGACACTGTTTTCTTGAAATTTTTTTTTCTGTTGACACCAAAAAAAATTTTGAAAGACAGAAAATTTTTTTTCCGAAAATGAAAAAAGCCCGGCCCGTTGAAAAGTATGATCCGTTGATTCCCATTATATCTGCTCTTTTTTGCATCATTTGCATCCTTTCTTTCTGTGTTCCTTCAACTACTCAAAAAATAAAAATAAAAAACTTATTAGAGACATTTAGATTGAATAGAATACAAAAATTCATAGAAATATCACATTCTTCTTGAAATCGTAGTTGTTATTTGGCTTTAGAATTCTTCTTTTTTGTATTCTTCTATTTTAGTCGTCGAGATCAAGAATACTCTTTTCGTACTTTACTCCTGGGGTTCGAGCTCTTGGAGTACGAGTTCTCGGAGTGCGAGCTCTTGGGCGAGATGGTCCTGGTTGATCATGGCGTCGCAAGTTAAGAGTACTGTAGTCTGAAAGAAAACTACCCTCATTTTTGGAATTTAAGTTGGTATGAGGTACCATTCTCATCATCGCTGGAGAGGATTGTCTCATCTTTTTTGGAGTGAGAAATGGGATTTGAAGTGATCTCATGGTGAGTGTCTCTGTAAACTTAAAGAGTTTTTCCTGGAATTTTCTATCGAATTTCACCTGAGCAGACCATCTAGAGTATCTTCGTCCGCCATGATGTACGGAGCTTGGCCTGAAATATTTTATTTTGATTTTTTTTGGCTGAAAAACGGGAATTTTTGAAAAAATTAAGAATTGTGTAGATCCTAGAGCATCGAAAAATTGAAATTGGCAAAATAAATTCTCTTATCATCACATTTTTGAAAATTAGAAAATTGATTTTGTGTTCATAATTTCTCCATTAGAAAAAAAATGTACACTGCCTCATTATTGTCCAAAATCATGACATTTTCAGTTTCTTCAGTACATAATAATTTCTAAAATTTCTAATATTATTAACTTAAAACCATGAAATTGAAATTTTTTGAAAGTATTTCTTTCACTTTCTTTTAATTTAGCATTTTTTCTCATTTTTTCAAATTTCAAAGTACAGAAAATTTTGAGATTTTTTACACTAAAAATGAAAAAAGTTCGAAAAATTCCCCAACTTATCAAAACCTAGATTATATTTTTTGAATGTCCAAAATCATGACATTATTCTTTCAGTTTTTTTGAATTCAAGAAATTTGAGATTTTCGGAAACTTGCAATTTTAAAAACCAGGAAAAAATGAGTTTTAAAAAAATTGTTTTGAACTTCTTTCCATTGCCCCCATTTTTCTAATTTTTTGAAACATTTTCTCTTCAAATGTCGGAAATAATTTTAGAAAATTTAACTGCTCTTTTCTGAAAATTTGTATCACAATGAACGGAAACCATAAATCTTTCCATTTTTGTTTTGTTTTAAAAACTTTAAAATTTCAAAAAATATGAAAAATAACATTTTTTTTGAAATTCCGCTTTTTCTTTTCAAATTATCTGTTAAATATTGAGTTTTTAGTGTTTTCGAATCATTTTGATCATCTAATTTTTTCAGAAGTTTTCAAAACCTTCCAATTTGTTTCTCTGTAAAAAGTTCTCACCCAATCCCAATGAATACCGATCATCGTCAGAATCCAGCAATTCGTGACGAAACTTGGCATCATCCCAAACGGGATTGTCAAAATAGATTGTAGTTGTATCCGCGTTTTTTGTGATTTGCGGCTTTGCTCGTGTACTTCCCAACGTCATCGCTTGAAATTCTTCCGGAAGTTTAGGCATCTGTGGCTCGACGAATTCTTGGGAGTTCTGAAAAAAAGTTTGCTTGTATCGCAAAGTTTCTGGAATTAATCTCCAATGTTATGAATTGTCTCCAATGTTTAAAGATATTTAAAAAATCTTGGAATAGAAAAGTTTTCTGATACTTTGTTCCCCTTCTATTAGCTAGCAGATCGCATAAAAGACCAGGCCATGATAAACATGATGATGTTTTACTTCACAATTTTCTCGCGGGGTGATGCTAAGCTTTGTCTGGTGCTTTTAGTTTTTAGGACAAAAAAAAATAAAACTCCTTCGATCCTTTGCCCAATTAGCCTGAAGCTCCAGACTTTGCGTCATTCCAAATGTGACCTGTCAAGTCAGTCATCGTTTAGCATGAATATCAATTTGTGGCTTAGTGAGGACCCGTTAAGCTAACTCGAGAGAAAATGAGGAGTAACCGGCGGAGGTAGGGGAGAATCAAAACGCGAATTCCGTCTCTAGAAGAACTTATGGGATTTTTTTTCTCTTTCTGTCATCCGTCCTAGTGTGGAACTATGAGGTTTCTGGACATACAGCCAACTAGAATTTGACCCAAAATCGATATTTTCCTAATTCTATAAAATTGTTCACCATGTCCTGCATTTTTTTGCGGTGATATTCTGCTGAAATATCAATATTCGTTTTATTCTTTTTTTTGATTTTGGGAGCTTTCATCATTTTCTGGCCCTAAATCCTTTAATAAGATAAAGTCAACCCGGCTCTTTCTCTCCTACCCTTCCCTTATGTATCTGTTATGTGTTCTTACTCCTCCACACCTTTCACCACCACCACCACCACCCCGCCTCACCGTCATCGTCTCGTGTTGCGCAACACAAGTTTTCTCGCTTAGAGGGTAATAACTATAGGAGTAATATACATTGCGCAATCCCCAGTAAAACAGATTGACGTAGGGAGTGTTTTGGTGTCTTCTGCTGCTCAGGGACTCTCTCTCTCTCCACGACTTTCCGGAACACTAAAAAGCGGATAAAATCGCTTCCTAGTCCGTATTCACGGAAAACCTAGAAATGCACAAAGACGATAAGAATTGATCTTGATATGCAGCACCGGTCAATGAGATATGCACAATTTTTCGATCACTTTGGTAATCATGGAGAATGTGAAATAGATCTAGGTTTGAAACTTTGCATTCACAGAAATTGCAAAATTCCTAGTTTTTCTGATATTTTCCGATTTCTAAGAGACACCTTTTTTCATACTTGCAACGGGCCAGGCCGTTTCAAATCGACAAGTAAAAAAAATTCCATTGCAAAATCGGGACATTTTTTTGAATTAAAAAAAAACCATTTACATAATTCTCAAAAGTTTTCAAAGTAGACATTAGTTAAAAAACATAGAGTTTTTGATTAGATTTTTGAAAAAAATTCTGAAAAATCAGCTTCTGTACAAACAGCGGGCCGGCACTTCATCGGCCCGGGCCGTAACTTTGCAAGTATGTTTCTTTTTACCGTTGTTTAATTTAATTTAAGTTCATTTATTTATTTCAACGAAGGGGAGAAAACCACTAACACGTGAAATGTCTATGAATCTAGGAGATATAACAGGGACATACATTTGTAGTAAATGGTAGATGGAGGAAAAACCGAGTTAGTAATTAGTTGAATTCAAGACAAGAAAATGTTTTAGATCACAGGATAATAGTCGATTTTTGAAAGCCGCTGTTGTTACTGAAAGGATGGAAAAACAGGTGTCCTTAAGAAACCGGCAGTAGCAGAAAACTATGAATTTTCTAAGAATTCTGTGAATGCAAAGTTTTCAATTTTGGTCTGTTTTCTCCTTTCCAAATTTTTCAGAATGATCCGAAAACTGAAAATCAAGCTTCAGACTCCTGAAATTTGTCAAAATTGCTGAAATTCAATTTAAAATATACATTTCGTATATTTTATTGACCGGTACTGTATCTTCTACATATTTTATCTTCAACTCCCTCTCTTTTCTCTCCCTCCTAGTGTGAAAACACATACCACAGGCAAAACCGGTACGTGCTCATGTAATTTCCGACCTTTCCTGAGACACCTGCCCAAAACGAGGTGTAACCTCTTCGAATGTCACACTCTCCCGCATTTTTAATCCGAATTATAATGTGGACGACGTTTGTTTCGGACCATCCATTGGGTGTGACGAGGGCGTGTACCATTAAGCGGCAGATTAAATGTGCCTCGAGATTGACTGTTCGCTTTGAATGGGTTTTGGCTTTCCTTCTCTCTTTTATGGCTGTTTTAAGAGAAGATGTGAGCTTCCGTTTTGCTGAGAGAAAGGGTAATGTCATAATTTCTTCATTTTGTCCTATCCTCTGACCTGGCTGTCTTAATCAAACCGATCTGGCTCATCCATCCATTTTTTTCTCAATTTTTAAAAGAAAGCTTTGTGGATCTAGCAATACATGCGTTGATCCCTTACCTTTCTTTCTCGACTATTAACAGTCCGGTGAATAAGGAACATACAACCGATTTTTGGTCATTTTCAAGAGTTGGGAGCTCGGTTCTCTAGATTCCGGTCACTTTTAAAACTTTGGAAAATGTAAAACAGACCTAGATTGATATTTTCTTGTCACAGAAAATTTTGAGAATTTCTAGTTTTTCAGCTATTTGACGATTTTGAGAAGACACCAATTTTTAACATTTTTTTTACGAAAACAGGCCGAAAATGGTGCTTATCTGAAATCGGCAATTATCTGAAAAAGTAGGTTTTCAAAAATTCTGCAAATGCAAATTTTTCAAAATATGTCTGTTTTACACCTTTCTAGTATTTTAAAATCATCAGAAATTTGACAGACGAGCCCCAGACTTACTTTTCCGACATTTTTTTTCCAAAATTTTTTATCGGAAATATTCGGCGAATTTCCGTTCAAGTTTCATAAAAATCTATCAATTCCACAGAAGTTAGGCAAGTATTTGAGCAAAAAAGGGTGTTTCAATAAATTTCTATGAAATTATGGAATTCTCGGAATGTTTTTTTTATTGAAAATGTTCGAAATTTTCAATTTCAACCAACAAAATTTTAAGAGGGTTTATCTATTACAGGAGGCCTTTCTGTTGTTCCAATACCCCCCTGTAAACTCCTCTAACAGAAGGACCCTTTCACTAAAGAAGCTCTTCTAATACAGATTTTACGGTAATTAAGCCTTTTTCGCTCTTTTCCTCGATATCCGACTTGTTTTGAACCCTTCATCAGTTTCCATCTTCTCATTTGCATGTGTTTCTTCCCCTTTCCCCTTTCCTCAGATTTTCATTATGCCAAGTAGAAAGACGAGAAGAGGGCGACAGCTCTAAAAGTCAGAAAAATGTTCCCCTTCTCTTTTTTCTTGACTGGAAGTTTCGAGCGCTCTTCGCCCCGCCAGTCGTCACCTCTTTCCTCCTCCTCATCTCGCCTTTTCACCGCTCTTCTCAACATTCAACGCCTTCGGTACGCTGGCCGCTCTTTCCCCCTTCTTGTGTCTTATGTGTGTGTGCCTGCGCGCTGGCCGGGGGCCAGAAACAGACAGCCAGCATTGTATTGAGTGGTGTTGCCCCCCGAGGTTCTGTGCCGGTTGAATCGAAAGCACGAGGAGCGCCCTATGCTCACACACTTTAAGACAAAAAACTGGAAGAAGAGGATGGGAACAGAAAAAAGAGAAGGGAGAATTGGAGGGGCCGATTTGCATTTCATCAGTTTATTCTAGAATGCACCCCCCCCCCCCCACATGGTTCGGGACCGCCTTAGAGCATCCTCTTTCCATGAGTCGAGTCCCTCTTTTCCCTTCACCTTTAAATCTTCTAATTGGTACCTAATTAGCGGTGGTCTTTAAAAAGCTTCACCTCTGCTCGTTAGGATCGGATTAGTGAGACACACTTCGATAACAACTGTTGGTTATTTATAGCTCATAATTGGTCTTTTGAACTGATCAAAACAAATTGTGCTTCCAAAATGCGTAGGAAAAAAATTCTGAGATTTCGAAAAGTCCCTTTTCTAGTTGGGTGATCCAAAAATAGAAATTTACTCCCCAACAACCGGTCGTTAACTCTTTCCACTAACAACTACCAATTTTATGGAAAAGCTACTTAGGGATCTTGAGCTTTCGTCGAGTCAACCAAACCAAATAAAATGACGATTTTATAGGCCCCTTGCCCCTAGATGTGGCTCACCAGCACTTTTAGGCAATAACTCTCCGTAGAAAACAATAAAAAAAGAAAGCGGTCATCTTCCATTTGTTTTCTTCGATTCCCTGTGTCAAGAATTTTTGATGAAGATTTTTGGTATAGGGGACAGAGCAAAAATGTATTCTAGAAAATGAGAGCTAATTGAGATGTTGCTTTCACCAGTGAGCGTGTTCTAGTCATATGAATTCGGAAGCATCGCGCCATGCTAATACGGTTTTGCACCAACTACAGTAGTTAACTTTAAAAAGTCCAAATCTGATTGATTGTGGATTACTGTAGCTGGTTTTTGAAACACATGATGTTTTCGTTTCTAGCCGCTCCCAGTTTTGTATGAAGCTAGATATTGACCCATCCTTAAAATACCATAAAACCTGTATTAGAAGGGCACGTCTCCGGACCTCCGCCCTTATATGACTAAGGTCCTTCTATTAAAGGGTCTTTTTTGATACAGGTTTCACGGCTCTACTTTTCGGCACCCCAAATACTTTCTCTAAAGTCTCGCGCCTAACAGTAGGAGTCAGCAACTGGAGCAGATAGCACTACGGCTCCGATTTTATTTACAAATGTCAGAACTAGTGCTCCATCATTCCAAGGGCTCGGCCACTTCTGCTCCGTACCTGTCACGCCCGGTTTCAGTTGTGGAAAGCGGCCTTCATCGGACTTCCTACAAAACAATGAGCAAGAGGACAAATTGTAGGTTTTGATACGGGATTCAAGCAGAGAGTTGGATACAGAAAGCGTGAGAAATCGAAAAAAGTAGAAGAAGCGTGCAATACTAAGAATTACTTTAATCTCCATGTACATCCGATAGGGAAAGATACCGTTAGGGTTGGCAACGGGGCGCCTAATCATCCACTTTGAGTTCAATTATCTCGGTTTCTATAGGAGGTATCAAAAATTCGTCAACTGATAAAATATTTTTCATATCATCACCAATATTTTATCAGTTGACAGATTTTTTGGTAACTCTTGAAGGAACCGTGAGCTCAAAGTAGACTTATATTAGAGCAAATACGATAACTATCGTTGAGACCTTCTTAAAGACCTAGAAGAAGACTATCTGAAAGCAATTGCCGAAAAATTCTAACTTTAGGGGCAGAAGAGAGATTTAGAAAGTTATATTTATCGCTAATTTATAAGCCCCCGATTAGAAGCTGGACGCTTGCTCTTCACCGCTTTATGAGTCCATAAAACATTTCTGGCCGGTCATCAGAAAACGTAAACAATTATGACAAAAAGGAACCCGCCACCCCTCCCGATATACAACCGGAGCAATGATTTACAATCTGCCGTCGTCGTCACCTCTCTGTGTCATCCGATACCCATGGTCGAGTCGGTTTGATATGCCATATCGAAAAAATACAACATTGGTTTTGTGGATAACCATCATCGCTTAACTAAAATCTTTTCCTGGTGGCTTTAAAAACCATTTTCTGTCGCTAGATCTTAAAAAGATAACAGTTCAAAATCCTTTCTCATTTTTTCTGATCCCCCTTCCTATTCCCTTTCTCTTCAAATCCCTGGTCCGCCACCCCACGTCACAGCATCGATCCTTCCCCGCTGCTCATTCTTCTGTGTGAGTGCCCCGGCTCTTTCTTCTGTGTGAGTTACAGCACACACTGAAAGAAGCAAAAGAGCATGGTGAAGCAAGTACGGA